GGAAGAAGAAAGTAGATTTTTCTGAGCTTAGTGGAGTCCAGTTTCAATGTCCACCTCTCCAATCTCTTCTCTTTGCTCTGTGCAGCTGAGTAGAGAGGCATGCAGAGGTGTGATCTGCCTCTCTGCTGCCTGGAGCTGTCCCTGCCAGGAGCTGCTCCTCTGTTCCCAGCTCTTCTCCCTGTCCCTCTTGCCAGAGCCCGTGCCCACTGCTGGGGGCTCAGCTTTGCCCTGCAGATCCCTCCTGGCTGCGACAAGTGGTTGTCTGTGGTTGTATCTTCCCCGACAATGGTGGTATCTTCCCTGACATCCCTCCTTTCTTGGGCCATTTTTGCATCATTTGATACCTTTCAGGTGGAGCTTGAGTGACTCTACTCATGCATATCTTTATGGTGATTGGTGCAAATTTTCATTTCTTTGCATTTAAAGACATAGACTAGGCAAAATTCAATGCGCAAGCTCAGTGAGAGGTGGTCGCACTTGGGAGGTCGGTAGCTTTTGGGTTTGGGGATGGAGGTGTGTTTTGGTATTCTGATGAGATTATAATGACCGTAGCTCACCCAAGTATGACATCTATCAAAAGATGTCAGACTCCTGGCCCAGGATAGTAAATGTGCAGACACCTGGCTCCTTGACATCTCCATTGTGTACCTTTGTGTTCACAGAGCTTGACCACGGTGTTTCCAGAAGGTTCCGTGCTCTGTGGGATTTTCTTTTAGGGACAGAACAATAGAACTTCCTTGATGCTACTGACCCTTAAGTTTGTTTTGGAAACCTTTGTGGGAAGAACTCCATATACACCAGCTTCACATTGTCCTGGAAACTTTCTTGATGTTCCGATAGGTCAACAATGCTGTGTATGCAGTTAAGTAATTTTATATATTTATCCCATGTCATATGTAGTGAGAATAGTTAGTTTTTGAGGCCTGAGGACTCTGGCAATGTTTTAGCCAAGATGATTGCCTTGCAGTCAGAACTAAAATTTAGGTAAAGGTGCCTTAATCCCACAAAGCACAGCAACGGTTCATATCAAAGCTCAGTGGAAACTCAAAAGGAAATTGAAGGGCACGAAGACGAACTGTTACTACTTCAAGAAGAATTAAAAATGAAATCTTGCTCTTAAAAGAGCAATGTTAAATTCCCTAAGAGTAGGTGTAGACACCTCCTTGTCATGGGGGAGAAGCTTGCATCCCCTCGTGAGATTGTGAGCTATGCTGGCGGTGGCATATGCTTCCGCCTGGGCCTCCCAT